CAGACAGCCTGTGAAGGGAACTGAATAGCTGGAGATGGGCAGTAAAAGACTAACTTCATTGTTTACCTTTGTGAATTTTATTCCATGTGCTTTGAATTACCACTCAAAAACATCAATAAAAAATTTGTTAAGGTCTGCTTAATATACCTGGTGGAATTATCAAATATTTCAGCTTTCTGCAAATTACACCACAACCCCTGTATGCACCTGAACAATACTTGAAATCATGGATCTACCTCAATTTTAAAACTAGGAACTATGATTTAATCTATTCTATTTTAAATGAATAGTGAAAGTGCCCCAAATATGGCTGACGCTATGTGTTTCTCTGCCATTTAACACGGTCAAACAAATGACTGAAGGGGAAAAAAAGTTCTGTATAAATCCTTAATTATCGTAAGTAAAGCTACTACTTCAAATGTATAAGAACTTCAGATATTGTCAATTCCTTACTATGGGTGTTCCCTAGATCCAGCCACCACAGACATATTTTGCTTTCATCTTCTTCAGAATCTAATCTTTCCATTCTCCTGCAATCTGATTATTGTATTTTGAATATTACTTTTCTTTGTAATTTTATTTCAATGTTGGATGGCAAATTTGACCTCTGTAGTCACCATAATACTATGGTATGGCGAACTGGCTAAAATAAAAGAAATACTCATCTAGCAGAAGAAGGAAAAAGAATAGGTTCACCCTTTAAGTCATTCTCTTTAGGATCCTCTCCCTCACACTAATTTCTAAATAACTATTAAGGTAGACTCATTTAATTTTAGCCTTCCTCCAAATAAAAAATATTTTCAAGCACTTGAAAATACTCCTCCAGTAGGAAGGGGAAAGTGACCTAGTATTTAGTACCACTGGCATACTCATTAATAATTACACAAATTAGATACTATCTCTGTACCATGTAATTCTGCTCTCAGTACCTGCTCTCCTAGGTACTTTCCTACTCTCTCTTTTTTTTTTTCTAATAAATGAACTCCTTTAACACGTACAAGATGCACAATCTACATATCTAAGTGAAGATGTAGAACACTAAGTGAAGATGTAGAAGAAAAAGCAATTCTTTTAATAGAGTCTCTAATTAGCTTTAAGTTTTAAAACCCCTTGCATTTGATAACATTATCAACCCTATTTAAAAGGAAACAGACTGACTTGCCAAACATCACATTATCGAGAGCAGAAATAGGTCTGATAGAAGGTCCTTTGCCCTAAATATGCTGCTTCCCACCATGTTAAATTCAATACCCACAGAAAAGTGTCTTCGTATAATACAATGAAGGAAGCACTCCACAGCACAACAAATGAATACTAGTGATATGTTAAAAAAAAAATTTAGTAGAAATAATTTTCTATTTTCTATACAAGTGATCTCAAATACGTCAAATGAGACAACACTTTAAAAGCTTCTAGGCCGCAGGTAATGTATTTCCTTTGCTCCCAAGTCTCTAGAGCCTTGCCTCACATCATGAAGCACTTTTCAATGGCCACCTACTAGAAGATCTCTACCATCCAAGATCCCGCCCAATACACAGATTAGAAACACCTACTACTATATACATCACTTGTTTTCAAATGTTAAACTGAACATGCACTCTTGGGATAAATCTACTTGGTCATTGTATATTATATCTTTTAGATATTGCTGCATTCAGCTTGCCTAGTATTTGTTAAGGATTTTCACATCTATATCGAGGTACATTGCCCTGTGATATTCTTTTTCATTTCTTTTTTTTTGAAATTGCCCTTGTCTGGTTCTGGATAGGGTAATGTTGGTTTCATAAATTGAGTTGGAGAACGTTCTTTCATCTACTGTTTCTTAAATGCTTGGTTTAAGATCTAGCATTATTTCTTCTTTAAATGTTTGAAAGTATTTGCCCACCAAATCATGTGGGGCTGGCTATTTCTTTGACCAAAGGTTTGTAATTACAAATGTAAATTACGAGAATAGAACTATCAAGTCTGTCTAAAAAAAAAAAAAAGAAACACCTACTACTAAAATCTGGGAACTTTCCGTAAGAGATTCATCAGATGAATTTAGCCTAACAATTCTCAACCTTATCAAATTCAGTGTTTCCCCTCCATAAAATATTTTCCAACTTCTGCATTATCACCCTGAAATGAAATTAATAACAATCTTCCTTACAAACAACTTCAAGCAAAGCCATATATCCTAAATATAAATGTAAAAGGAAAATGAAAATAATTTATAAGTATTTCAATGTTAATCCTGAAACAAAACTGAACTAGAAGACATATAAAAGTAATTAGTACATGAATATGACAGCAAAATGGTTTGTAATACAATTTTCCAAAACTGAAAACAACTCTTGGTCAAGTTGTGAACAAAACAAATCTTCCTTTCACACAACATTTGCATGTGGAAATAATATGGGAACATTCTTTGTTCGGGTTAGCCTCTGCATTGCAAAAAGTATAACATCCCTAGTCCCCACCCATTAAATGCTAGTGATTAGCCCCAATCACCACCAAACAAAAAATCTGCTTCCCAACTTCCTCCAAGAGGGCACCCCCCATCTGGACCCACTTCCTTAGTCACAATTCGACTATCACAGTATAATGTCAAGAACACTCAGGAAGCGTGGACTAGTTCCAGTTGTGTCACCTATGACCTATAAGGTCATTGGCAGTGAGCACTCAAAACCTCAGTTTCCAGTATATCAAATGGGGATAAACACTACCTACGCTTTTTGGGTTGTAAAGGTTGATTCAACAACATGTGCTTAGCACAGGGCAGGTGGTTTCCAGCACATGGCATATTGAAATGTATAAAGAAGGAGGCTGTTCCAGATTGAGAACAGCAAAAAGTGATATGAATATGGAAGAGTCTGAAGACAAAATAAGCATACAAAATGAAATTTAACACACAGCAGCCTAGGGACATTTTAGAGAGAAACCAACAGTCCTAATATCTCTGCAACCCCTGAAGGCATATATTACAGTCAATGCAGTGAAATAATATTCAGAATGATGACCCCCATATTAAGAACACAAGAAAGACATCTTTAAGAGACTTCTACAGTACATAGCTGAAATTTCATAAAGCTCCAATACTTAACAGAGTGTCTGTACTAACAAACTTTTCAAACTTTCCTTGGGCAATTGTCCTATTCTACAGACTTGGAAAAGACAAAGATATCTAATATACTATATCTGTCCTCAAACATTTTACCATCCAGTAAGTTAGACATCAGTAAAACAGCCATAATATAAAGCAGAATGAAATAGACATTAAATAGAAATTCAACTAATAAATTATGGGAGCCTAGGAAAAATTACGAATAATTTTCACTGGGGAAAATCAAGAACATCCTCATGGCACAGTACTCTGAAAAACAAAGATTCTGATAGGTAGAGAATGGAGAGTAAATCATTAAAGAAAAAATGAAGTGTGGGCAAAGGTGCTGGGCATGTAGATACAACTTGTTCAGAGAAGAGAGCTAGGGAAAGGGTAGGGGTCCAAAAGGGTTGGGAAGGCAGTAAAAACTCAGGCTCTAACAACATCTCAGGACCTGTTCATGGATGGATTTAAATGCTATTCATATGAGTTTGAATTTTATTGGGCAAGAGTGTTTTCCAGAAAACTGGTGCTTATGTGACACACCTGATCCCCAAAGAATGCTGAATAGCCCAAAATAAAAGATTCCAAACAATTACAAATTTTCATTAACGAGATCCCTGAAACTAAAACATATATTCTTAATATGAGTAAACAACAAAAAGAACCTAACCCTAAAGTAGAAAGCAACTTCTGAGCTCAAGTCTTAATAAAAATATTACTAAATTTATTGAACCTGGGAACTTAATAATCTTATATATGCCCTCAATCTTCTTCCAAGTAAGTTGGAGAACTTCCTAAACATGTTATTTAGCAGTGCCTCATGTCACTCTGGAAGGCAAGAGGTAAGCTACAGTATTATTAGTCCCTTTTTACTATGGGGAAACTGAGGAACAAAAAGAATAAATTACATGGTCACAAAATAAGCTAATTTCTAGGACTTTAATTAAAGGCTTGAAGCCGACATTTCATCCTTTATTCCTTGTACCATCTGAATATTAGAATTACCTTTTACTGTCCTCTGAACTGGGGGAAAAAAAAAAAAAGGCAAGACTAAACTTGAAGATCAGTTTCTCAATTTGGTACTGCCACCAAAAAACTGTTTTTAAATCCTATCTCCTGAAATTATGCTATCGGCAAGAACTGCAAGGAGTAAGCAGTAACCCAACCTCCCCCAAAAAAGAAAACTGTAAATAACAGAGGTCAGGAATCCCAGGCCCAGTTTTTACTTTGAGTATCTGGCAGGCTCAGACGTGTGTTCGTAAAACAGGCTTTGCAGATGTCGTGATTGCAAAGGTGCTCTGAGAGGCCCAGAACAGTGATATCGATACACCCACTGCTGCGAACATGAAATCCAAAGCCACGCTCCTCTGCCCCCTCCCCGCACTGCACCACACACCACGCACCACGCGACTCCTGGTATACACCGAGGCCTGTGCGAGGATCCTCCCGACGTTTCCCTTAAAATGCCGTACTTTGAGGATGCCCAGGACGCTGGGCCTCAGTGAACGGTGGAGACACCGGATATGGCTACACACATCTCAAAATCTTGCTTCCCCAGATTCTAGGGCCTGATTCAGAGGAGTCTATCGGACATAAGAGTTCCTGATATTTTTTCACACCCATACACACACATAGTCACAACCCCCACCCACAAGTCCCCTGCCTCAGCCCCCCGCTATCCCCTCTTCCCCTCCACGCCAGGTGGGCGTCCCAGGGATGTAAAGAAAAGGAAGGTGGAGGTTCGAGCTCAGGGTTCCGGGGCCGCGAGGCTTTCCGGCGCCGGCCGGGGTCCAGACCGCCCAGCCCCCGGACCACGGCCGCCCAGACCCGGCCTCGGCCGACGCGCCCCGCCGCCGCCGCCGCCTATCAGCGGAGTGCAGGGGCGGGGCCGGCTGGCTCGGCGGCGGCTCGGCCGCGGGCGGGGACGGGCGGGGGACCGACCGCCGCGCAGCTCGGGCCGCAGCGCGCATACACCCGGCCCGGCTCCCGAGGGCGCCAGCGCGGCCCCGGGGAGCGCGAGGAGCCGGCGAGCGCGCGGCCTGCCGTTGGCGGCCTGGTCCGCCACGCTCGGCGCCCACCCGCCCCCGAGGCGGGGTCCAAGCCCCCGGGAAGATGGTGTCCTGGATGATCTCCAGAGCCGTGGTGTAAGTGCAGCTCACGACGCCCCGCCGCCCGCGCAAGTCCCGGGGAAGGCGTAGGGAGGGGCAGGGGCTAGGAGAGGGGAAGGCCCAGGCCTGGGCAGAGGTGGGCAGAGGTGGGCAGAGGGGGGCTGGGGTGGGCTGGCCTGGCCTCGGGCCTGCCCGGGGGCTGGGGGCCCTCGGCCTCCTCACCCTGGTCCACGTCGCTGCGGGGCTCCCTGCGGCGGACGAAGGCCCGGCGGCAGCGGTGCGGCGCGACCGGGCTGCGTGCGGCGCAGCGGCCCTGCTCCCGAGGCGTTGGGCGGGCGGGCGCGCAAAGCAGGCGGCGCGCGCTCCCCGCTCCCGCTCCCCGCGCTGCGCGGCACCGCCCTGTGGGCCCGGGAGCGGCGCGCCTCGCGGCGGCGCCCTGCGCAGGCTCCGCAGACGCTGAGCGCGGGAGGCCCAGCGATCCTCCAAAGGATGCGGCGGCGGCGGCGGCGGCGTTGAGCCTTTGTATCCCGCGGTTGGTGCGGTGCGGTGTTTCTCTAGGCGGCCGAATGCCATTCGGTCACGTGTGGTAGGAGGAGAGATTTGTCTAAAAACCTGAGACCGCTCCTAGCTCAGATCTTTGGGAGAGGTCCCAGTTGCCCCAAGATTTACAGCTTACCTAGAAAGACGCTCCTATGGAATGGTGACACCCGCTTGTTCGCCCAGATCGCAGAATTTGGCCCTATCTTGTCTGAAATGTTTGCTAAGTGATTGAGAGGCTGCAGGTGCCTGTTGCCTTTTCTCAAATTATCGGTTAATTTCATTGTGCTCTTATCAACAAGTGCTACAGGTCCATAAGGAAAAAAAAAAACAAAACACCGCAACTCCACCAAAAGTATTTGACTACAATTTAAACTGATTTTCTCCCATCCTCCTCACCTTACCCCCCAGCTCTTCAAAAAAAAAAAAAGTCACAAAGTAAACAATGACGTGGGTACAGCCAGGGGCCCGTCGGTTCATTATTCATGATCTCTGTAGGAGTAGTATTACCTCACTACCTTTATGAAATGTTTTTGTGAGGCAGCAGGCTTCTCCGATTAGCTTTAGAATGTGGAAAAAATAACATTACCAGAATTTCAAATTTTGTTTTTCACTGCGAAGAAGGAGCTAAATTTTCTGCGAGTTTTGTTTTTTTTGTTTGAGAGTGAATCAGTCACTTAATAGCTCTGTTCAACCTGATTTACTATTCAACCTGATTTGCAATAGCCTTCTGAATTTATATTTGATTGTTTTAATGAAGTTTGTCCTACCTCCCTACAGTTTCTAGATTTAAAGCTTCAGAGCTTCCTGCGTTCATCCGTACAGAACTAAAAGTCAGGAAATAAAAGCATACTACAGATGTCTTCAGATTTTTTTTTTTTAGCCTTTTTAAGCCTTTGAGTCATTTACATAATACAGGCATACCTTTCTTGACCTAGTAGATGTATATCAAGTGTTGTGTCTGCACCTAGAAAATGAAGTGCCCCATTAAGTAGCTGTACTATTTTTTTTTTTAGCTCTGGTTTCCTTTGACCAGTTTTCTTTTTTTAACAGAAAATTGTGAAGTACTTTGCATGACTCAACTCAAATTGTTTTTGATCGTTGATTGTAAATATGAAAGTCTTTTCTAGGTGCTACCTATAACACAAAAGTTAGTAACACAGTGTTGATGTTAATGGAACAGTTCAGATACACGGATACCTACAATACAGGTGACAATGTCAAGTCTTGTAAGAGTTACACCCAGTGCTATAGGGGTTAGATAAGGAGGGAATGATATCTGGTTGGAGAATTAGAAAAAACAAGGGAGATTACATTTGAGATGGACCTTAAAGGACCGTCTGAATTTAGACAGCCAAAGATGAAAGAGTAAAGGATTCCAGATAAAGGGATCATTGTGAGCCAAAGCACAGAGGAGGGAAAGCCCAGATTAGTTACAGGGAACTTGAGGACTGGAGAGAGAGAGAGAGCTGGAAAGGTAGAGTAGGGCTGTTTTCAAGGAATTTAAGGAAAAAGTGATAAATTTTGTTAGGCAGTGGTGGCTTTGCTTTTGGAAGATTCTCTCCCTTGCTGAGTGAGATGGTTGTAAATCAAGAAACACTGAAGACAGGGAGCCCACTTAGGGGGCTTCCTGTCTGGAGAGAGGAGATTAAAGCCTGCAGTGCTAGAATCTATGGAATTTGAAGTGTGAGGCAGAAGAAAAGAAACAAAAATGTGAGGGAGCAAAAAGGTCATGGAATTGTATTTCATGAGCCATTGAACCATTAGGATACTAGAAAGCACATCTGTCAAGAATATAAGCATCATTATATTTTGCCCCTATGCTTCTCAATTTCTCAGTCTCTAAGCACTAAATGTTTTCTACTCCCTTGATTGTACCAAAGGGACACAAAAGCCCAATCCCAGGATCAACACACACTTGGAAACTTTTTTTCATGCCAGGAGATAGAATTTATTTACATTCTTTTTAACCCACTGGTACAGCCAGCTAGTCCTGAGCCTAAAAAAGATCAGACAGTTCTCTCAATGTGAACCTTTGGTGGCATGGGCAGAGAACACAAGGAACTTCCATAATCAGAGCTCCCTGTGTGCATGAGCCCTTTCTCCCCAGACCATGTGGTAGATATCGTAGGAAGAACACTGGCTTTGGAATCAGATCTGGATGCCAATTAATGCTGCTGGGCAATGTGCTACACTCAACTGAGCTTCACCATCTTCTTTTTTTTTTTTTTTTTTAAGAATTTATTTATTTATTTGACAGAGAGAGAGACAGCGAGAGAGGGAACACAAACAGGGGGAGTGGGAGAGGGAGAAGCAGGCTTCCCGCCGAGCAGGGAGCCCAATCCGATGTAGGGCTCGATCCCAGGACCCCAGCATCATGACCTGAGCCGAAGGCAGACGCTTAACGACTGAGCCACCAGGCGCCCCTCACCATCTTCTTCTTAATGTGGTTATAATATTAAACCACTATTAAAACTATTGTAGAGATTAGTTTAACTAAAACACACTAGATGTGCTGCCAGGCATTTATTCTGCACTTAAAACATAGTGGATATAGATTTTTTTTTATGGGGGAGGGGAATAAAATAGTATAGAAAGAAATACCATTGGGCTATCATCAAGAAACCTGGAATTTAGAACTAGTTTTAGTTATATTAACCACCTGAATGACCTTGAGTTAGCCCCTCACTGATTAGAGACCTCAGTTTCTTTGTAGAGGTAAAGGGATCTGGTAATCTAAACTTTCCTGTACAGCTCTAGCATTCTGTAATGGTATGAAATGGTTTTATTTTGTTTTGTTTTTCCATTCTGCTTAAAGTCATTTTTAACTTTGCAGGCAAGATTGAAAAGTTAGTTAGCAATTATTAAGGGATAGTAGTCTGAGATTACCACGTGATATTTCGTTCATTTGTGATTACCTATACCTTACCTTTTGAAACATGACTTAACAGGATGAGAGAAATCCCACTTTTCTAACTTTTCTTAATTTGGGTATATATCATGTGGTTAAGATCAGGATAAAAGACTGCCTGAATTCATATATCAGCTCTGCCATTTATTGGCTATAACCTACCCATAGGATTAAATGTGTCCATATACAAAATTGTTTATAGTTCAGCATTGGACACATGGTATGTATTCAGTAGTTGTTATCAGAACAAGGAAGAACATATTCCCCTACAATCCCAGCATACTGAATGTTTAAACTGTTTTCAGTTTACATTTTTCTTTGTCTCGTTGTAGGTGACATAGTTGTAATTAGAGTATAGTAAAAAAAAAGTTTTATATTATTCTTACTATATTTTAAGCATCATCTGTGTTCTCTGAAATTATATTTTATCTCTTCTGTAATCAGCCCAAAATTCATAATTTTCATAGCCATTCATTTTTTTTAATTTTGCTTTTAGATCATTCTTACTATTTCATTATCATAACTAATGTTAATATAATTATAATGCTATAGTGAACATCATTTATATATACTTTTTTCTTTAAGTATTTTCTTAGGCTGAATATCCAAGGGGAGTATTTGAGTCAAAAGCTATGAATATTTTTCTGACTATTGATATGAATTGCCAAATTGCTATCCAAAAGGATGTTAATATTTTACATTGCCATGAACAATGTATGATTACTGTCTGTCTCACAGTGTAGCCAGATTTGGGTGTTTTATATTTAGTAACAGATCTCATTGTTTTCTTTTGCATTTTACTATTAGCAAGATTTAATATTTGTCCTGATATTTATTGTATCTGCTGTTGTACAAATAGTCTGTATGTACTTTACCCATTTATCTCTTGGTTACTTGATAATTTACTTGTTTGTCTGAGCTCCTTACTTAACCTTAAGTCTTATTTGATTTAAATATTTCTCAATCTACACTTCTCTTTAGATACTATTTTTTAGTTGTAAAGAGAATTTATAGTTTACAGTTCAACTTTTTTTTTATGTTGTGATTTCTTTTTCACTTCTAAATATAGAATACTAATTACTCTAGGTATTTGATAAGTACTACTTTCTCATATAGAATTGGATTAATTTGGAGACTGCCTTTTTAATTCCATATGTCTGTATTTCCCTTTTTACATTAATAACACTTATATTTGTTTTGCCATAATTTTATTATCTGGCAGAAGTAGATTGATCCTCTTTGATTATATTTAATGGGTGTCTTTAAAGTCTAAATTATGTACCTTAAAAACCATGCTTCAGCAGTTTTCCCCCTTCTTTCCAGCATGTTTTCCCTCTCTCCTAGATCTTTGTCAGCAAACATGCTCTTATTTCTCCCATTTAACAAAAAATTCTTTCAGCCTACTTTTCATCTTATTATCCCATTTCTCACCTTCCCCCCTTTAAAGTAAAAACTCCTCAAAAGAACAGTCTATATATACACTTTCTCCACTTCCTCTCCTTTGAGTCACTCTCCAACCCACATCATGTAGGCTTTGCCACCATCCACTCCACTGAAATTGCCATTTTCTAGGTCAAGAGGTGACCTC